GACCTGCCCCACTGCAGGAACAAAAGCTCTCAGAGTGGCCTGCAGAGGTGAAGGGAGCTCACTACATGCTGGGACAGCCAGGGTGAAGCAGCCCTGGAAAGGAGGTTCGAGCCAGTTTGCACCTATGAGTTCCCTAGTCAGGGACACAAGTCGTGTAGCTCTAGCGGGAAATGAAGTCCCTGCACGAGCAGTAAGTGTGGAAGTGTGTGTAGGTGGCCAGCTGGCGAAGAGGTCTGCTGTGAAGTGTGAGGCAAATATCCAATTTCACTTTATGTTGAATGGATAGTTTTATATAGAATTCAGTGAACACCACCGTCTTCAAATACTAAATATTTGTATGTCCCAGAGGTGCCCTCAGAGTTGTGAGCTAGCCACTGGTCTGTTGCATCTCTGAGAGCTCTGTGCATGTACGGATTTGGAACATGTCAAAGCACGATCTTCAAGTGGGATGATCCATGTGAAACAGCCCATTTCTCTAAAACTGACTCCTCGGGGCACAACCCTTACTTCTCTTTGTCTCGTTTAAAGTGTCTTCGCACCCCATTCTGCCAGGCAATGGCATAGGCTAGGGAAAGATGCTCCCTCACCCCCATCCCCCACCCTCCATCTCTTGCTACCTGCAGCAGGCCCTAGGGTCAAGTCAGGAGAGTGCAGCACACAGGAGAGTGGGCCCTGCACCCCACCAGGGCAGCACACTAAAGCTAACCCTGTTGCAGGGGATGCAAATTAGCCAGTCTTGAGGATGTGATAGCACTAGAGCCGATCCTGCTGCCCTTCCCATGCCCCATAAAGCAATTGGAAGAGAGAGTCCTGCACCTTTCCTGGGCAAAACAGTAGAGCTGGCCCTGTTTAGTGGGGGAACCTGGATCTGAGGGCCCAAGAGCAGGGGAACTGGCTCACTTCTTGCTGTGAGCTGCATTTGATGAGCTAGCAGAGGCCGTGCTGGAGGGAAAACTAGTCAGCTGACCAGCCCGGCTACCATAGCCCAGGTCTAGAACCAGGGCTATGAGTTGGCCTACCCCAATATCCACCAAATCTTTGAATTGTTAGAGCATATGAAGGGGATGAACCCACAGATCCAAAACAGCAAGATTTCCATGACACAGGGCAACAACAGGATATCCAAGTGAGAGTCCATTATCAGTGGTGTAGCAGAAACCAGAGGCCCTTGGGCCAGAGCATTGAACACTTACAAGTAAAGATGAACAGACTCCAGTGTTGGCCAGCTGGCCCAACAGCTCTCCCCTGTCTTCACCACCAGAGGGAGCTCTCCAACATTGCCTCTGCTACTTCACCTCCTACAGCAATGAGCAAGGGGTGGGGCCAGTTCTCCTGCTTTCATGGCCTCAGGGTAGGCTAGCTGGCTCTCCCACACCTACACTTTCAAGGCCAGCTGTACTATGTTTCTCAGGAGAGATGCAAAGGCCACTCTCCTGAGGGCTGCAGCTGGGGAGGGCAGGGGCAGCTTTCCCACTCTACGATCTCCGGGCCAGCTCTCCCACAGACAAGGGGCAGTAGGGAGGGAATCTGTCCCCTGCCCATACCACCATATGGCAGATGAGGGACAGGTCCAGATCCCCATGCTCACATTCTTGGGTGGCTCACCCTCACCCCAGTCAGTAAGGTCAGCTCTACTGTGCGGCCCAGTTGAGGTGCAGGGCCCATTTTCCTGAATGTCGTAGCTGGTAAGAGGGAGGGTCGGCTCCCTCTGTAATGGACCCAGGGTTACGGGTTGGCACACCCCGATATCCACCCAATCTATGATCTGCTAAAGCATGTGAAGAGACCGGTCCTGCAGACCCAAAGCTGCAGGATCTCCCGGACACGAAGCAACAACAGGCTAGCCAAGAAGAATCCTAGGGAGGACCCAGCATCAATAGTGTAGCAGAAACCACAGGCCTGAACCAGACCAGTGACTCTTTGCAAGTAAAGATACATGGACTAAGGGGCTTACTGCCTGACTCACTGTGCCACACTGAAGCTCCCATGATGATATTTGTCATTTTTTTCTTTCTTCTTTTTTTTCCTCTTAAATGTTGTTTTATTGGGGGAGGAGGTTGCAAGGGCAGAGGATAGATAAGAAGGCACAGGAAATGGAATAGGGTTGAGATGCAAGGTGTGAAAGGCACAAAGAATAAATAAATAAAAAGGAAGTTTTTTTAAAAAAAAAGGTGAACAGACCAAAGGGTGAACTGTGTGCCTCAACCGGCCACACTACAGCTTCCACAAGATCCTTCTCCTTTATTTTTTTCTTTTGGTGTTTTGGGTTTGTTTTGTCTCTTTGTTTTATTTGGTTTTGGTTTTTCTTTTATATTTGGTTGAGTGGGGACAGGTTGCAAGGGCAGAGGGTGGATGCAAGGGGCCAGGGAAGTAAGTAGGATCCGGATGCATGATGTGAAATCCACAAGAATCGACAAAAGTAAAAATAAAGTGTCTTAGAAATTCTCTACACTTTGTTAAACACATTTATCTTCCTTAACTGTCCTCAACATGGAAAATAACGTCAGCAACAGCCAAAGAAAAAGTATAACAACCGCCCTCAATCTTTATTGTGCAGACTTCTTTATTGGTCTTTAATTGCATGATTCTTCAGCAGGGGGTAGAAAGTATGAACCCGTGGATTACAGCCTCCTTCAGGCAGATCTCAGATCCTCAGCCTACTCCCTAGCCTGGCTGTGCATTCCAGTCATATTTAAATATCTGCTGATGTCTGCCTGCCCCCAGCAGTCCTCATCACTTCCAGCCATCTGTGCACACTGTGACTGTTACTTAAAAGCTTATTCCATTTTCTCATCTGGCTAAAGCACAGATCATCCTTAGGACTCAGTTTGGACATTGTACCCTATGGCACACACCTTCTTTGGCCCAACATATGGTTACACAGCCTTTCTCCTGCTCCTGCCATTCCTGGCCAGTCTTCCACCAGAGCCAACATTCTATGTCTGTTGGCCTACTGGACAGTAAGCTCCTTGAAGCGCTGAGTTGTCTTGTTCTCACATGTATAGAAGCTAGCATAATTATTAGCTTATAGTAGGGAGTCAATTAATACATCTTGAATGAATGTGGAATGTGTACTCATTCCTGAGTATTTGGAAATAGATCCAGAAAAAAAAAAGGAAAAACTACATCTTGAAAGGAAAATCAATATAAATCCTAAAGCTTGGTCAGTCTAGGCTACCTTGTCTCAAAATAAAGAGACAGAGGGAGCCGGGCGTCAGTGGTGCACGCCTTTAATCCCAGCACTCAGGAGGCAGAGGCAGGCAGATCTCTGTGAGTTCAAGGCCAGCCTGGTCTCCAGAGCGAGTACCAGGATAGGCTCCAAAGCTACACAGAGAAACCCTGTCTCAAAAAAACCCAATAAAATAAAATAAAATAAAGAGATAGAGAGGGGGTGCCCAAAGCATGAATACCTCCTCCTGTTAATGTTTTCAGCTCTTTGTTTCCCATTATAATAATTTTCTCCCAGCAGCCTTGCAACATACATGCTTTGAGTGCTTCTGTTTTCATTTACCAATATATTGTTTTGCTGGAAATAGCACTAAATGTCTATTCATGCATCTACAAACTCTTGGGAAACTCTGCTGAGAACAGTATCTGTTAGGAGTGACACTATTTTTTAGATACTTTCTGTTATGGACCTTGTTGCTTGGCAAGTTTTGATACTACAAATAACGCTGAAGTAAATATTTTTGCACTTCTAATTATTGCTCCTTAGAGCATTCTGAAAATAAAATTATTAGGTGAAAATTTTACAACTCTAATGGAAGAATGAAATGGAATAAAGCTCTCTGGGGACTGGGAAGGGTAGTGGGAGGGGAGATGGAAAGAATTTTAATAAGGGTTCCACAGTCACACTGGAGAAATTAGTTCTGGATTTCGTAAAATAGACTGGGGTAACGATTAGTTAGAACAATATGTGATATATTACAAAATGAGTAAAGGAATAAAAATCTCCAGATATAAAAAGGATTCATGTTTGAAGACATGGAAACACTTATTACTTTGATTAGTATATACTACGTATACTTATTAGATTGCCATAATGTGCCATATTGAAGATGTACAAACACTAAGCCTTGGTTTAAAAAGAAAACTTTACAATTCTGTTTGCAATCCTTCAATAGAAACATCTCAATACACTCTTCACTGCCACATTGTCTTTTTTTTTTTTTTAAGAGTGAAGCTTACACTGCAAAAAGGAACACTTCGTTTTCATTTCTTCTCATTGGGCATCTGTGTTACACTCCCCTGTGCCTGATTCTCTGCTGGGTTATCTTTCTTCATGGCTGTAAAGCTTTTGCTGGGTTAAGAACACAGTCTTGAAACTGAGGAGCTGGCAAGCATGGGGATCTGGGTTGCATCCCCACCACCCACAGAGATGTGTCTCCTAGGTGATTGTGAATCCTGGGGAGCCTGCAGTCAGTATTAGTATCACGGGAATGTTGGGTTGCTAATAATTTGGTTTTCCTCTTTTCAGACAGGGTCTCACCAAGCAGCTTAGGCTAGCCTCAAACTCAGTCTTTCCACCTCTACCTCCTCAGTGCTGAGATTACAGGCATTACATTTCACTTTCTCACCCATTTAAAATTTATTTGTGGCTGTATTCAGAGGTGAGGTTTGAACTAGAGTTTTTTACAGAACAATTTTTCCTAAGACTTTCTCACAGCTTTTAAAGAAACGCTAGTGGAAGGGATGGAGAGACTCTGGCTCCGTGTTTTAAAACGCATACTGTACTTCACAGGACATGAGTTCAGTTCCCAGCATGCACATCAGGCAGCTCACATCAAGTATAACTCCAGGGAATCTAATGCCTCTGATGTCCAAAGGCACCTGCACCACAGGCACATACCCACATGAAAATCCACATCACACATGTCATTTAAAAGCATAAAAATAGATCTTTAAAAAAAAAAGAAACAATACTAGGAGCAATGATACTTAAAGGAAGCATCCAAAGATTTCGCTTGATGTTGACCATAAGCTTCACCTTGTCCCCACAGGTGATCAAGAGCCAGCTGTGAGCAGCGGCTCCGACATCTCATTGATTATGGCACTGGATGTGGGACTGTCTGACGTAGAACTTTCCACTGACCAAGACTACGAAGAGGTGAAATCTTGAAATGGTAGAAACAGACAAAAGAAAACCCAGGACCCAGGAAGCATGTTCCAGGACTTGAACTGGATACACAGCCTTCAGCTTATCATGGCAACCCCAGGGCACTCTGTTCAAGAGTCGTAACGAAAGCAATATCCAAAGTTTCCAGAGTCAGGATGCGGGTTCCCATCTCTGCAACAACCGTGGCGTTGGTGTGGAAGTCGAAAGCTGGATCCCTCCGCGTCTGTGCAGACACGCTGCCGAAGGTGCTGCCGCAGACTGGAAGGAAATCTTCAGGGCTTCTCTCAGCTTCTCCCATCTTCTTGTTCTTGTTTAGAGAAGATGGCTTCATTCCCTGGTGATTTCTTTTTAAAGATGACATGTAGTTTACATCTATTCCTTTGTTTTCCCTTTGATTCACTCCAGCCCATGTACAGAGATATGTTTAGAGGTCCTGGTTGCTGCTCCAATAATTGGTTTGTACCACATCTCTGAGGTTTCTAGTCATGAGCTCTCAGTATAAAGTGTGTATGACGTCGAGAATTGCCCCAGCACCCTGAAATGGTGGAAGGCCAGAGTTCATCAAGTGTCTATCTAACTCCCTCTCCTCTAAGTGGGTCTTGACAAGCCCAACTGCCAGAGACAGCAACACTAAGTTCTGGATCTGCTGAGTCCGTTGCTCATTGTTTTCGCCTACATCATGGAGGCCTCCACTTGCCATGCTCTGTCCAGGGCCACCTTGGTAGAGAGAACTATCAGGGAGAAGGGTGGTTCATCTGACTTCAGGGTCTTAGTCTAAAATCCGAAGTTCCCCACAGGGTACAAATGCCAGCACTCAGAGTGTGTGGAACTGTAAGCCTAGTTTAAAAGCCTGATACCCCATCTTCCCAGAGCAAGGAAGATGCCTGTCCCCTGGTTATCCCCAAGGCCTCAGCAGTTTATCACCTTTGTAAATGAGTTCTGTGGGACCAGTCTGTAGAAAAGATGCAATCATTTTTTTAGGTCACTGGCATCCAGGTGTGAGCTTACTTCCGGTTCTGTTCCTCACCAGCCTACATGGAAAGCTCTAAATAAATCCTTAGCAGTTTGCAGCTCAGGTCTTCCTGAGAGCATCCTGGTACCAAGAGAAGGATGGGGTATGATTTGATAAGGTGTGAACCAAAAAGTACATCATGGGAAATTGCTGAATTGTGAGAGACAAATAAGATAAAAAGAAAAAAATAACCAATGACTATCAAACTCCACCTGTGCTATAAATTGATTTATGATTTTATTCTTTGTTTGTTTATTTGAAACAATGACAAGAATGTTCTGTTTCCCAAGTGGACAGTTTTGTGATACACACAGCCTCTGCAGAGGCAGAGGTGGCCACCTGGGTCACTGGGTGACCAGGAAGATCTCCTCACCATCTCTGCCAGTTGGCAAGGTCACACAACGCAGGGATTAGCCAGGGAAGCAAGCTCTTCCCACTGAGCTGCATTTATGTATTTGATTTGGGCTTTTCCACCTCATCACCCTAATACTCATTCAAGCAGGGCTTGGTTGAGCTGTAAATCCTTGCTGTTCCCTGGAATTTTGAGTCCAGGGCAACGGAGTTCTCCACTGCTTTTGCTTGCTACCTTTAATGAGTTCCTATTTGATGGTGTCTGAGTACACAGCAAAGCAAGGAGAACAAAACAACCTTCAGAAAAACCTCTTCTGTCTAAGGTCCTGCACGTCCCATAATTAATTCCAGCCTCCAACAGCTGAGAAGATCCATAGCAAGGAAGTAGGCGAGCAAGTGCTGGAGCAGAATCTGGACAGTGAGGAATTTAGCAGACGACACGCATGGTTCCCTCTCTTTTGTCTTACTCATTTGCACTCCTCCAATGGGAGCTGTTTGTGAAAACAGCTGTGTCATATAGCGAATTTTGACATTAAGTCTAAAAAACTACGCTAATTCAACAGCAAAAGTATTGCCCTGGGAGAAAAAGGATTGGTTGGCACTTTCTGTGTTTGGAGGGTGTTTTCCAGCCAATGGTCAGGTAAATAGCAGATTACGTAGCAAACCCTGACCTGATGACCGATAGGATGCTGACTGGATGATGAAGGGTCCAACAGGTCCATTCTCTTTGCCATAGCCTCCCTGATACCTTCCACAACAAGAGAATCTGATCTGGGGGCCCAGTGATCCACACATGGCTGTACAGCCCAGAAATGCAAACTGAATAGGCATTTACAGGCATGTGGTTTTCTGTAGCAAGTGTTGCACCAACTCTGTCCAACAGAAATACAGTCCAAGTCACATCACATTTTTAAAAAAAATTCCATTACCCACATTTTAAGAAGCAAAAGAGAAGCAGGTGAAAATAATTTATCAATATTTTTATTTAACCCAATATTTTTGTTTCAACATGCAATTGATATGGAAAGAAATATTTTCCTCTCCTTTTTAATACATCTTCTACATCCATTTGTGTCTTTTATACACACAAGACATCTCAATTTTTACTAGCCACAGATTGAGCTTTCAGTAGCCACATGTGCCTAGTGGCCACCAGCTAGACAGCACAGCCCGAGTGGTACACTCCAGAATCCTTACAGGTGTTCCTGGCTCTGACAGAAGAGAAGGGAGATGATTACCTCAGCTTTCACAGGGAGGACCAGACTCCACCCAAGACACCTAAGGAGAGGGCCAGGGGTGTACTTGGTTCATAATTAATATTGGTTCCAATAGCCTTTACCAATTTTCTCCTTGGACTTTCCAAGCAGTAGTGTCCACTATCATCAACCATTACTTCTGTGACAAGTTGTTTGTTTAAAAAAATGGACAACAAACCTTGTTGATTTGGTGCTTAACTGAAATTGTGCCCCTTGCTTCTATGACAACCCTTGAGACTCATGTGTGACACTTAGCCAAAGAGAATTTACCTCAACCCCCAGTTCTTCCTCCTTGTGGCTGCCCAGTTCTAGAGAACTGAAACTCAGAGATCTGAGAAGAAGCACAGGGAACTACATACTGACCCCATATATACAAGCATGCAGCCTTGTGAAGAGGGGATCTTGGAGGCTTGTGACCATCAGCTTGGTGAATGGCAAGTCATCTTCTGTTGAGCATCACCAATCATGCATAGGCTGTAGGAGGAAAAGAGCCTTGATTCCTTCAGAGTTGCTTTCAGAACTGCTTCCTCCAATGTGATTAGTCATCCTGGAAGAGTTGATGCCTCGTAAACACAGCATTTGAATATTGACTAGCCCCTAGGGTTTGGTTGTGCCTTCAATGTCAATTCTAGTCACACAAAACCAAGGGAGAGACACAGTGTAGAGAAAGTAGATAATGAATGTAACAGCTAGCTCAACTCTGTGTAACATCCTGCCCATGAAAACAAGTCTCTGTCCAAAGAAGCTTTTTTGTTATGTTTGCTTTCTATTTTTCTCATCTGTGGGAGTTTAAGGATGGCTGTGTCCAGTGGCCATTTCTGTTACAGTGCAGACATCCCTGGGGCTACCACACTTCCAGAATCATAAAGGATGGTAGATAGTCTGTCTAGGATTCATTAGAAATTTAGTTGGTATGGAATAAACTACAGAGAGTAAGAATTCAATGGCATCTAGTTGTCCACTGAATGAATATCCTTGGCTGACCATGAAAATTACCAAATAAAAACTTTCAGAAATTTTAGGAAATAGTGTCACGCCCTGTATGAAGAAAGGGCCCAGCCTTCTGCAGTTCTGAGGCCACTGAGGTGATGTCCTGCAGCATTCTTAACATCCCTGGATTTCTTCTGTGCTTTCTTGTGTTTTTGACAACCTGTTTTTTGTACACATATGTTCATATGCATGCACACACTTTCCCTCTCTTACCTCTCATTTCCTTTTTTCCTATTCTACTTTTTATTTCATCACATTCTCTCCCTACAAGGAATGCTCCAATAATGGCCACATGCCGCTGTTACCTTTCCTGGCTTTGTGCAGGAAGTCCCCTGAGTAATTCTAGCAAGGTTACAATTCCAGAACACTGTGGAGACCTGCTGTCTTTCATGGTCAGAATCTATAACCTTCTAGTTCACATGCCCCTGGAGCAGGATCTGTGGCTCCTATGTCTGACATCTGCCTAAGCTCCTCATTGGCTAGCATCAGGGCTTGATTCTTGGACATGATTCATGGCCCACTTCACACTGTGAAGGAGGAGAGGAGGCACTGCTCTTAAAAGGGCAGGCTGCCTGCTTTCTTGAGTAGCATCTCTGTCCCTGCTAGGAGGGGACCGAGGAGCAGGGTTGATAACTGCACTTTACAGGGGAGGTGACCAGTGCCCTGAAGGACATTAATGAGGAGGTAGGACCCCCAGGCCAAAGCAAGGCTGGCTAAGTCTCTCTGGAAAAATGCTCCTGCCCTGGGTTCAGAGCTTATCAGTGAGTCCCAGAGAAAGCAGGTGTTTAAGAATTCAGTATTCATGAGTTAAAACACTCTTAAATTTCAAAAAAGATTGGGATAGCCTGAACATAAGTTAATTCTGAAAATCAGGTCTCAGTTTCCCACTGGTACATAGTTCTTCTGGCTCCACTTTGCTCCCAACACCAGCAGCAACAGTGGTGTTTAAAGATAGGGAGATAGGAAGCCACTTTGCGCCACTGTGAGCCTTTTGATAACATGGTATTTTCTCTGAACTAATGAAGTGGGTGCAGACCCTAGACGTGCATTTTTAATTACCAAGTCCTTTAATCACATCAAATCCTTGTCCTGTAAGGACCTGCCTCAGTCTCTCTCTCTCTCTCTCTCTCTCTCTCTCTCTCTCTCTCTCTCTTTCATAATAGAATGGCTTTTTCATGAACCTCAGTGGTACTACTGATGTACACACTCACTGCAGAGCTGTTGGCTCTCTGGCTACTGGATACGTGTTTGTTGATGATGATTAGGTGAGAGTGTTTGTCTTGTAAGATCTCTAAACAGGCAGACAGAAAATCTACAGAGAACAGACAGGAAGCTGAGTTACCCAAAGTCATTGCTGGACAGAAAGTCGGTGGGTTTGCCATCCTTAGGCCAGT